GGGGGAGGGCTGTAGGAAGGCTCCAAACAGGCAGTCGGCGTTGTGATTGGCCAGTCCAAGAATGAGTGAGGTGGGGCAGACGGTAGGCCTAAAGAGAAATGGTGGGGAGAGACGCGTTGTGTGAACCACTCCAAAAGTGATGTAGAACTGTAAATTGTAATAGCCCTAGCCCTAGGCTAGGCCAAACAGTAAAAGAAGAGGAGAGTGTGTGGTGTGTGATTCCTGATTCACTGAATTGCAATCGTTGATGTTCAAGCATACACACGTATACACTTCTCCAGCTCAAACAGTAGGCCTACTGGTACAATAAACAGTACAAGCAACAAACCGAGGAAAACATGGCTTCCAACAAAGACAAAAGGAAACGCTTCTCACTCGAATGAAATGCCGAGAGAATCAACGAATTTGACAAGAAAAGGAAGACTAATCAAAAGCGCAAATTTGATTGATATATGGGAGGGATGTAATCATGTCTATTTTAAAGAAAATTTTTGGTAATTTCCCCTTTGCATGCCTATAGTGGGAACTCGCATTCAGCGGTCTTTTCTTCTGGAACCAAAAGTCCCACTGTAGCCATATTCTACTGTAGATCTAATGTCATATCCTGTCACCCACTCTCATCCTTACAAACGTCACATATACATGATAATAAACCGTCAACAAGTAGTAGCCAGCCAAAGCGCAAGTCTACGAAATGCCATCTCAGCAGTGCAAATTCAAAACAGCAACATGCTATAAGTGCAACAAGCAGGGTCATATCGCAAAAGCTTGCTTGTCCAGGGGCTCCGCACAGAACCACAGCTGAGGTGGCCCGTCACATCGACAAAATCAGAACTACATGAAGCTCGATCAGTAGGCCTACTACGATGACGAGACTCCAAATCAACCTGATGCAAGCCCCGACTTTAGTCTGTTCACCGTTTCGGATTCACCGCAGGCTCCTATCAACATTCAGATGACAATCAATGACAAGTTGATGAGCTTTCAACTCGACACGGGAGCTGCCCTCACTATCATTAGTGAAATCGATTTCAGTCGTGTAGGATTGAAGGGTGCTATAGTTCAAAAGTGTGCCAACAAACTTCAAACGTACACAGGTGATAGTGTTCCTGTGGTCAGAGAATATGTTGTAGAAGTGTGTTACAATGATCAGTTCGTAAAACTACCTGTCATAGTTGTTAAAGGCGAGGGACCTCCCTTGCTTGGTAGGAACTGGCTTCAGAAGATTAAGCTGGACTGGAAAAACATTTTCTCGAATTCTGGAGGAGATATTAACCAACTCAAGAACAAAACCTGGAACTTGGAACAGGTTTTGAAGAGCAACGATTCTGTTTTGGAACCGGTGGACTGTTGAACGATAGAGATGTGAAACTAAGTATGAAGGACACAAATCCGAAATACTGCAAAGCGAGAGTGCCACCGTACGCCATGAGAGAAAAGATTGAACATGAACTTGACAGACTAGAAAAGAGTATTTATTTCCTGTTTAGTCAGGGACGTAACTCACAAATACAAATGGTAATACAAATACATCAACAGTACATGATTAATTCCCTTTAATTATGGTTACTACATTACATCCCACCCCCCTTAGTTTCTTTTATTCCCTTGAGCCAACCGAACAAAATGAGACTAACAACCATGACAAAACTGTAATTGACAGACAGTTTGGGGTAAACGACAGGGTGTATGTGAGAAACTTCGGGAGAGGTGAGAAATAGATACCTGGGGAAATTGTGCAAAGTACGGGTCCGGTGTCGTAAAAAGTGAAGACTAGTGACGGATTAGTCGTCCGTAGACACTCAGACCAAATAAGAATAACCTGTGCAGAAACCAAACATGAGTCCCTTCCGTTCACATCTCTTGAACGGTTCATGCCAGCTGTTCAGTCTAGTCCAGAACCTCCTGTGGTTGAACTGAACGAACCAGATACGGTGGTCACAACAGAACCATGTGCTGCAACTGGTCAGTTACCATCACATGAGACTAAAGGTGGTCAGAATATGGGTTCTCCAGTTCAACCACTCAGAAAATCTGCACGTAAGGATAAGCCATCAGAGAGATTAGATATTAAGTGTAACTAATTGCATGGTCAATAACCTTAATCGGTGAGGTCACTATGACCAGGATCACATTTTGATTATATAGTTAATTTGTATTGAATTAATAGTGAGCTAGTCACTAATGTTTCCCTCTCATTATTTCTTGTGTATTCCATTATTTGATTAGATCTAATTGATCTTATCATACCAAAGTTGATGAATAATATCGCATTATATCATTGGCTATGTTTTGTCATGGTTGTTAGTCTCATTTTGTTCGGTTGGCTCAAGGGAATAAAAGAAACTAAGGGGGGTGGGATGTAATATAGTAACCATAATTAAAGGGAATTAATCATGTACTGTTGATGTATTTGTATTACCATTTGTATTTGTGAGTTACGTCCCTTATTAAACAGGAAATAAACAATTTTTTGATGTGACACAAAATGGCTACCAGTTATTCCTGTCTAGAAACAATCTACCACTCAATCCACTTCAGCTTTGGTGTTAAGTTAAAAGCACGCTTGCTTTCTCCCGATGACTGCTTAATAAAGCCGGCTTGGACTGTAGCAACCAACTGGGCTGACGGTTGCTGAAATGTTAAGTATCCTACCCTGATGAGAGAGAGAGAGAGCAGACAACTATCATGTGGCGTTGTAAAAAGCCTCTATGTGATACCTACAACACAGAAGCCCTGTCCACCATCCTTTACACTTGTTGCAATGCTCTTCTTTAGTAAGGGTCTGTCTTTCCTGTCTCCACAAACTTTACACTTGTTGTAATGCTCTTCTTTAGACAAATAGTTGTTTTTTTTTCACCAAAAGCAAGACAGAAGAAAAGATTCAAGATGATACCAATTTACGAAGTGTATACAGACCCGGTAACCGGGAACAAAGTCACGAAGTATACAGACCCGGTAGGGGAACTCTTTTGTGATTTCGGGAAGTTTCAGCGCTCAGACCCGGTAGAAATCTTGTGTGTGTGTGTGTGTGTGTAGTGTGTGTGTGTGTGAGAGAGAGAGAGAGAGAAATAGAGAGGGTGACTGCTCGATTGAAATATGACATTGTTCTTTTCTTCAAATTGCGATTCCTCCAACTCCAAAACGGAGGAAAAACGATCGTTCATCGAAAAGACATCCGCAATCTTCATTTAGATCTAGATCTAGGCTAGCCGCGAAACTAGATTAAAGATTTATGTCTGTCCGCCTAGATCTTGATCTAGACCTAGGCCACAGATCTCAAACTAGAAGAACCTAGATCTACTCTGAGCCAAGAGAGCGCAGAAACTCTCCGAAATCACAAAAGAGTTCCCCTATCGAGTCTGTATACTTTGTGACTTTGTTCCCGGTTACCGGGTCTGTATACACTCCCTACCAATAAAGCTGTAGGCCCAAAATTTGACGAGCACCTGATTCCATCGTGTCCGTATTTCTCCAGCAAGTCTCATTTTGCCTCGCTACACCCTAGTCCATCCAATACAAAGACTACCTCAAATTTCAGTCCGATTTATGGGCGATTCGCGGATGCTCTAGTGTAGTTCGCTCCTTCTTTCCTTTTGAACATTTGTTGTCCTAATCTCTCTCTCTCTTTTGTATATGTCACTCTTTTGCAACACTTCTAATCTCTGGAGCGGTTTGCTCCTTCTTTCCTATCAAGCATCTATCGTTTTTATCTCCCCTCCTTTTTTATATTTATTACCCCCTTGTAGCGCCTCTAATCTTCTGGCGCTCATATGACCTTATGCGCCGTAAAACCTCATTAAAACTTCTAATCTTCGGCATTTATCATATGAGCTTATTGTGCAGCAAGTGTAATAAAACTACTACTAAAAACAAAACTAAAAGTTAAAAAATCCTCAAAATTGTGTCCTTTAGCCTGCAGCCAGTCCACAGTTAGTTAAACTTTGCAGCACAAATTTCACACCTGTATCTGGTCTTCTTTAGAAAGATAGATCATTTTTTACCCTGAACAGTCATCGTGTGGACCACAAAGAGTATGTCCCAAAATATTTGATACATTTTTTTTCTCAAGTGTTCTTTTGCGTCTCCATAGATGGTCTCTTTAAGTAAACCTGGCATCACAAATTTCACATTGTGTAAAGTCTTTCTAATCTGTGTGTTCTTTTATGACTCTGTAGATGTCCCCTCCATTTAAAAGAGGCACCACAAACTTCACACATGTAAGGTCTTTCTCCTGTGTGTGTTCTTTTGTGATCCTGTAGAGAATCACCACGTGTAAACGCGGCACCACAAACTTTACACTCGTAAGGCTTTTCTCCTGTGTGTATTCTTTTGTGATTCTGTAGATTGCTACCACGTGTAAACGTGGCACCACAAACTTCACACTTGTAAGGTTTTTCCCCTGTGTGTGTTCTTAAGTGACCCTGTAGATGTCCGCTCTGTGTAAATGTGGCATCACAAACTTCACACTTGTAAGGTTTTTCACCTGTGTGTGTTCTTTTGTGAACCTGCAGATTTCCGCTGAGTGTAAATGTGGCACCACACACTTTACACTTGTACGGTTTTTCCCCTGTGTGTGTTCTTTTGTGATCCTGTAGACTTCTACAACGTGTAAACGTGGCACCACAAACTTCACACTTGTACGGTTTTTCCCCTGTGTGTGTTCCTTTGTGATCCTGTAGACGTCTGCTCTTGGTAAATGCAGCACCACAAACTTCAGACTGGTGAGGCCTATCTCTTGTGTGGTTTTTTTCGTGTGTCTGAAAGTTACCTACTTCTGAAAACATTTCACCACAGACTTTACACTCGTGAGGTTTTTCCCGACCATGGTAGAGATTTCTGTTGTCCATCTGCTTGTCACCTGCTATGTTCTGATGGAGGTCACAGACTCTCTCCACAGCACCGATGTCACCAGAAGAGGTTTCTTTCCGGACACTGCCAACATTCTCTTCATAGACTCTTCGTCTTGTCAGAAATCTGCAGCTTGAACTTTGACCTTGTCTTCTCTGCATATCACTTGTCTGCTGTACCGAGTGACAGAAAGTCAGTGGCCTATGAGGGTAAGTTGAGACATCTGGAAAAGACAAATAATGGACAAGTTATCTAACCCTGACAGTAAAATGAAACATCTGGAAGAAGACAAAAATGATAAATTACATTCATGTCTTATTCTAACACTAATGACCAATGATAGGGTGAAACAACTGGAAAAAGTAAAAAATACACAAGCTATACCCAAGTTTTTGGGGGTTTTTAGTAGAGGTTTTACGGCGCTCGTAACTGCATAAAGTCATGTCATGAGCACCAGAAGATATTAGAGTTGTTACAAGAGAGTAACAAACATAAAAAAGAAGGAGGGGAGATAAGGACGATAGATGTTTGATAGGAAAGAAGAAGCAAACCACACCAGAGCACCCGCCAACCACCCACCTACCCAAGTTTATCTAACATATAAATAATATATTATAATGATTCTAATGACAGAAAAAGAATGATCAAGATGAGATGTGGCTGCTATCCTACACACTTAAAACACAAACCTAAAATTTACTATGACTGTCTACACATTCATCCCACTTGTGCTTTAAGTCCCTTTTCTCAAACACCATGTCATTTTTTTACATTTCAAGAGAAGGAACACAAAACAACTACAGGAACACTGGGTTATTTTCTGTAATCGTAAACATTGGAGACCTGTGATTTCTTTCCACCGACCCACAAAAGGAATGACAAAAAAGTGGTCAGCACGTCTGCGTTGTACAGGCATAAAGTCAAAGAAAAGACAGTTTGCCTTGTCGTGTCACCGTGTGATGGAATGAGGAAGTGGACAGTGAGTCTAATGACACTGACAATCGATGGAATGAGGAAGTGGACAGTGAGTCTAATGACACTGACAATCGATGGAATGAGGAAGTGGACAGTGAGTCTAATGACACTGACAATCGATGGAATGAGGAAGTGGACAGTGAGTCTAATGACACCGACAATCATTTACTGTAAAAAAAACAACCAACTTTCTTTTACTTTCAAAGGAGATGGTGCAGCACACATGTATCATAGCACAAAAATACAATATTCTATTATACACATTATGACATAATGTTATTTTGCCTAAATTGTCCAGCCTTTAGCTCTCCATGCCAAGCTGTAGCCACCAGTAGTTGTACCTCACTGCCATAAAAAAAACAGGCAACAAACCATTTGCTTTTCTCCTGTCCACAAACTAAAACCATAAAGTAAATTTAACGTCAGAAGAAACTTCAAAAGAACTGTGTCACCTCAGCTTGTCGATGTATCTGGCGACAAGGGGGCTCACAGTGATGCTAAAGGTCTGGGACTAATGAAAATCAGGTTAAAGGGGTTTTAAAATGTACCTCTATCTGTCAATCCCCGTTATATCGCCTACGACGGGATGAGCATGAAGTTGGCGGTACAGCGGGGCTGGCGGTACAGTAGTCTCTGCCTATACGCACGCCATACAAAAGCACGCTCTGCTCAAACGCACGCTCTCGTCATCTGACGGGTTTTTTAACTATATGATTTAGACGTACAAACGCACGGTCACTCCCTCTAAACGCACGCTCCAGTACTCGAAACACGCCGACAGGTAAAGCTTGACAAGGGGAAATTTTCACTACAACCTGCACAGCTTGGATAAGACAAGCCTAGAAAAGCGGATATTTGGTGAGACTGCCCCTCATGCTGAACAAAGACAGTGATGGACAGCGTTTTCACACCCAACTTTCCACAGACACATAGGTCTAGGACTTGTGGGTGAAAATATGTTGGGGGGTTGGTGGACTGAAATCTTATTTGATTGGACACTGGAAATGCATCTCTCTGAGAGAAGGTTTCTGACTGGTGTTTGGGTGACTGCATGTAATGTTTAGTTAGACCTAAGCCTATGATGCGCAACACGCGCGAATGCTCGTCAATGAATTTACGGTCGGGGGTGGTTGCTTGGAAAGCAACGTGGCTGGGCCGTCGTCTCTCTCTATGACTATCACTAACAATTTCCTTTTAGGCTATCTGTTCCAGACATTTTATGTTGCATATCATTGCATTGAGTCTGTCTTTCTGTACCCCCCCCCCCCCCCCCCCCCACCACCCTTCAACGCCTTTGTATTCGGGGAATCCTTCACAAAAAGTCACGTGTCATCACATTATCGGCCCAAAGTGACACCCACCCCAAAGGGAGGTCACTAGAATATCAAGGCAATGAGATGACTGCGTCCCTTCCTCCCTTTGCTAAGGTTCATGATGTAAACGCACGCTCCATTTAAACACACGCTAAGGAGCCCTCCTGAGCATCGTGCGTTTAGGCGGAGACTACAGTATAACGAGATAGCACCAATTTAAATATATAGTTCAACAGCAAATTCCATCGCTGCTACAGCTTTTTCTGATCCAATAAAAAGCAGATCTACTTTCAAACATTTTAAAACATTATATCTGTGGTATTCATCATTCTATTTTTTTAAAAGTCATTATAAACACTTTGATTCAATGAACATCAGGCCCAATAAACTTTAAATCATGCCAGTTTAACTGCACATGTACCTGGCATGACATAGAATTGCTCAATTGTTAACAACCTGTCAAACCGCATCAAGAAATTCAAAACGCACCGTATCGAAAAGTCCACACACAGAAGGATTCTACGTACCAGAACTTTCACCGTGATCCCAGCTGGCCCCGACAACAGATCCTGAACTTGTGACTGGATCGGCAGAGAAAGTTGAAGTTGGACTACTGGAAGCAACAACATCAGTGTCGGGGCTGGCACTCTGCTCCATACACAAGCTCCTCACATTGGTGATTTTCAGCTGTAGTCCTCCACCCTGACTCATGTGATCCTCAACAGACACGGGCTCAGTACACGTATCCTCCACATCTCCCACTTGTCCTTCTGTCTTTCCTACCTCTACAACGTCTGGACCTTCCCATTCTGATACTTCCTCTTTCACAAAATTCTCCACTTTTGGTCTCACTTCATCACCAAAGTCAGGAAAATGTCCAAATAGTGGTTCCGTTTTCACCGTACAGATATCTGTGAGGCACTCTGGTTTAATGACAGGTTTCACGTCTTCCTCCTCTGTACAGATAGGCTCATCTTTTACTACACTGTGTCTGAGAGTCAGGCTACTTTCACTTTCAACGTTCAGTTTGTCATTTGTCTCGGCCTTGACGTCACACCGACTTTCAAAACTGGGCTCTTCTTTTACTGACAGATGTTCCTCATCAACACCAACAGATTCACTTGCCCTACCTAAAATGTCATGTATTACATGATCTTCCCTTAAATAACTGTTAGTATAAAGAGTACCCGTACTAGATCTAGATCTAGATCTAGTCCCAGAACTAGACATAGGTTCACCTTTGCCTTTATTAACAACAATGCCAATGCTATCAATCCCAAGATTCACATCTTCTCCAGAAGAACAAGAAACAAATAAATCACAAGTGTTCACACATCCAGAGCCATTATCATATCCAGAGTTAAGTCTATACATTGTTATTGTTGTGTCTTCCTCACAGTTGACGTCCATTTGTTTAATAAAATTAATATTAGAGTTAGAGATCTAGATTCTAGATCTCCTCCAGATCTAGAGATCTAATCTAGATCTAGACAATGTCAATGATGACACTATTGACACTACCCTAACATGTACACACAATTACTTCAGTAAACGAATAAACAGTGCCATGAAGAGGAAAGTCTGACTTCATGTTCCAAATTTGATTCTGCACAATACGTTCAGGCATCTCTATAGATTCTTTAGATCCAGATCTAGGCCAATATTAATTATTATTGCGTCCATTTTCTTTTTGTACGATCAAACAAGTATGAAGAGCATTAAGACAGTTTCAGCGGTATAGTATGTAGATCTTGGCCTTCCACTCAGCTTTCAACAGTTGCATAATTATTATTATTCTTATTATTACTAGTAAAAGTTCCCGTTCTACGAACGGAGTAATAATGAAGGTGTATTAGGAAAGTTAAAAAGAGGAAAAAGACTGAAAACAGGAAAGAACAAAACATCAATATTTTACCTTGAATTTATCCATGTAGGCCTACATATGTGGCACCCCCTCTTGACTACCTCTACGGGTAATTAAGACTTCTTCCCCCTCCTCGAAGGCGTGGCTTTTTAGCACTTAAAAAAAAAAAAGATTTAGACCTACATGCCAATTGGCAATTGTTGCTTCCTAGAAGAGCCTAATCTAGATTCTAGATCTAGCAAATCTCGAAGGATTATAAAGACATAGGCCAATAATTGAAAGAAGGAGCCTAGACCCATAGATAGTAGATAGATGTAATGTAAGTTTAGAAATTCACATTTTAAGAAACTGACAGGCGTCACAGATGGCCTAGATTTCTATATCTATTCACAGAAGAAAAAATCCATTTTCAAGAATGCTTTCACGATTCTTGATCTCAATCTAGATTCGCCGAAAACCTAGTTCTTGACTCTAGATCTATTCGCGGCAGGAAAAAATCCACGTTCAATACTTTCATCATTCTTGATCTCGATCTAAGATTCACATATATATATATAGATCTAGCGTAGATCTAGATCTTAAAATCTATAATGCACAGAAAGAAAAATCCACTTTCAACATTCAAAAGGTTATCGAAATATCACAGATCTAGATTCTACTTTCTTTTCATGATTCTTCTTTATCTCGATTTAGATTTCGATTCTAGATCTAGACTTAAGATCTCATCTAGACCCTGAGCACTAAATCCACTGCAGGAGAAATCTACTTTCAATACTTTCATGACTTTTAATCTTGATCTAAATCTAGATCTAGATTCCAGATTATATGAAATCTAGACATACACACACATGCTGAACCTTTGACTTTGACCCATGAATACATTAAGTAGGCCTACGGTAGGCTACTCTTGGCGCTTTCGATGGTACCCTCTCTGTCACTCTCACCACCCTCCCTCTGCAGTGCTTTCTGGCCTCCTCTATCTCCCCCCCCCCCCCCCCTCTCTCTCTCTCTCTCTCTCTCTCTCTCTCTCTCTCTCTCTCTCTCTCTCTCTCTCTCTCTCTCTCTCTCTCTCTCTCTCTCTCTCTCTCTCTCTCAAGGTAGGATAACAAAAGAAAAAGTCCCCACCAGTAAACTCTCTGGTCCCCACTTTGTAACATGTGTATTATGTAGGCCTACTACTTTATTCGTCTTTTCCTTCTTTTTTTTCTCCTTCTCCCCCGCCTTCTCTTCTAATTCCTCCTCCTCCTTCTTTTTTTTCTTCTTCTTTTTCTTCTTCTTCTTCTTCTTCTTCTTCTTCTTCTTCCTCTTCTTCTTCTTCTTCTTCTTCTTCTTCTTCTTCTTCTTCTTCTTCTTTTTCACCTCCTCCTCCTCCTTCTTCTTTAATTTTCTTCTTCTTTTTCTTCTTCTTCTTCTTCTTCTTTTTCTTCTTCTTCTTCTTCTTCTTCTTCTTCTTCTTCTTCTTCTTCTTCTTCTTCTTCTTCTTCTTCTTCTTTTTCACCTCCTCCTCCTCCTCCTCCTCCTCCTCCTCCTCCTCCTCCTTCTTTTTTTCCTCCTCCTCCTCCTCCTCCTCCTCCTCCTCCTCCTCCTCCTTCTTCTTCTTCTTCTTCATTTCTCCTCCTCCATCTCCACCTACACCTCCTCCTCCTCTTCCTTCTTCTATGAGCGCTGTGAGAAGACGATCAAAAGCATGAGACTGAAACCGGGAATTCCTGTAAACATACTTTAAAGCATAATAAATGAACACAAAATATCCTTCGGCGCAGTCGGCACTCCGCAGTGAATATACAATTTCGAAACAAATGATGGCGATCGCTACAAAAGGACAGAATTTAACTTAAGATGGGCTTTCTTTTCACACATTTGATCTTAATGAAAATACAATAGTGCAACACTACGTTTCAAGTCATGGGTACGGTACTGGCAAACTTTCATATTTTTTCATTCCGTAGTTTCTGAGAATATAGGCCTACTGTTCGCAAAATTTGGCCTTAGCTCCATTAGTAGTAAGATTATTACTAAAATTACTTTTTATTATTATTATTATACTATTATTATTATTATTATTATTATACTATTATTATTATTATTATTATTATTATTATTATTATAAATTATTATTAGCATTTTAACATTATTATTATCATTGTTATAGGCCTACATTAACAAAAGTTTATTGAAGAGATACCGGTTTACAAATCCCCTTCTATCTATCTAAATGGGGCCTCCAGCCCATCTATCTATCTCTACATATATATGTGACTTGTCTCCTTTCTTGTCTTTAGCCTTAGTCACGTTCAACGAGAGGTCGGATCCAACGAGGACAACAAGCTGGTCCCGGCAACCTCGTTGAATGCGACACCCACTGTATTATGAGGGCCTACTGTACTGACTGAATTGAATTGATTCAGTCGTTGCCACCGCTTTTGATTGTCACCAAATTATTTTTTTTTTTTTTTTTTTTTTTTTTTTAAATAATTTATTTGTTGTTGTTTTTGGTTGTTTTTTTAATTAATTAAATTTTTTTTAAATATTTTTTTTTTTAATTATTTTTTTTAATTGTTTTTTTTAACCCCCAAAAAACCCAAAAACAAGAGCAAGGCAAAAATTGCCGCGGTTGACCCTTTGATTTTAAGGGCACTACGTCTAATTGCAAAGGCACCAAGGCAAGGTGCTGCAGCTCTGCATATTATTATAATTTGTGTCGATGTGCCTCTCTTTATTCAAGCAAACCTGGATCAATAAAAGCAACATAACAAACAACATTCAAGCAAACAAGCACTAAAAATGACATTGTTCATTATTGTGTCAACGTGCCTGTCTTTATTCAAGCAAACAAGCAAAACTCAAGTTCTCGACGTGAGTTATTCTTGGATTAAAGGCGCCACGAAAGAGAAAAGTCCACAGCGCTCGTATGTCTGCACAGGCCAGGGAGTGAAAGATGGGCATTGTGTCCCTTAGAAATAGATTATTGAGAAGAAAGATCTGGCCTCAGAGTGCCTTGATTGAGAAAATACTACACGTATTATTTATATATATATATATTATATATATATATATATATATATATATATATATATATATATCTGTCCCCGTAGAATTATGCGAATTTAGATGGCCAAATTATGCACAAAAAAAGCCAAATTATGCAAAAATTATGCAAGTTACCGTAACACCTTTCGTGACATGTTTTGCACTTTTTCAACACAAATTTTCATGACTTTTATGTTTTAAGAAGTACAGAAAAATTTAAAACAGAACATATTAGTATCAGTAATTTGTAGTGTATTTCGAAAGAAAACAATACACATCTGTAAAAAAAAATAAAAAACAACTAAAAAATATAATCTCTGTAACTTTCAGCTGTAGATCTAGATCTAGATCTAGATCTAGATCTGGGAAAGAAAAATATTTTTTTTTTTAATTTTTAAAAAAAGGACATCTGGACCTCTGATTCTGGCACATTACTAAAACCAGGAACACCTGTCAAACATGAAGCATCAGCAGACATGAGAACAACAACTTTTGATGGATTGAAAAATTGAACATGCTCAGGGAACAAAATCCCAAACCATAACCAAGATCTTCTACCAAGGGAAATAACCAGCTTTTCACTTACACAAGACTTAATACGGTGATTATTTCCCTTTAGTCACATGGCGAGGCGTTAATTAATAAAATTAATTGTTTTGTTTTTTTAAAAGAAAGGAAAAAAACGTGAAAAAACGCGGGGAATCCAAAATTATGTAAATGTGCAGAATTACGCAAAAAAAACGCACAATCGCATAATCCTACGGGCACAGATATATATATATATATAATAACCAGGTATGTCAAAGACACAGTTTTAATTAATATCGCACATTCAGAAAAGGACCTTCAGCTGCTTCTGGAAATACCCGGTAATGTTGAAGTGGGTGGTGAAATAAGGGGATATAAAATAGGAAGAAAACAGAATGCACAATTTTTTAAAACCCAAACAAAACAGTAGATCTAAATTAAATCGTAATCACATAAAATTAAAAGATAAATATCGTAATACAATCTTAGAACAGTTTTTTTTAAATTCTCCAATATAATACATGTAGAAATAAAAGAAAAATAGATCTAATGTCATATCCTGTAGTAATCCACTCTCATTTCTCATCCTTACAAACATCACATTTAATATACAGTGGAGTCCACTTATAACGAGTCCTGAGGTAACGGGAAGTCTGTTATAAAGACATTAATCTGAAACGACGTTTTTTTTCCTTCTTTATCTTTGTAAATAAAATACTGCTGTAGCGCAATCAGATAAACGCATGAGTCGTTTATAGCGGAATATTGCTGCTGCTGTGCACAGCGCATAGCCATTTATATACGTGATGAAAACCTCGCCAGTTGAGAAACTTGTTGGTGATCAAGGAAAACAAAGAATGGGAGAGCCCATGTGTGCCATCAATGAAGGCCGGAACGAATGAGTGGGGAAGAAGTGGCATGCACACACGAGCGGTTGTGAAGCAGAACGCATTGCCTGATTTTGATAGAGGTCAGCCTATTCTAGATTATCTAGGCCTATCATGCCTCTCACTTCTCCGATGCGGGGATGGAGAAGTCACATTGCTGTGATGGATGGAGCGAATGTGTGACGTGCGCAAGCAGACGCAGGAACGCACCACAGGGTGTGGTGGGGTGGGGGACAACACAGAGGGCTAGTTAGCCTAGAGAACTTTCTTTCTGATCGCAAACGCCGAGCTGTCAACATGGCTAACGCTAGAGAAAGAAGCCTGATTCAATTTTTGATCAAGTAAGACCTGGAGGTCATGTTGAAACTCATAGATTTATTATAAGGCCTACTTTATTATTTCCTTTGAATTTATTACTGGACCCCTTATAACGAGAATCTTGCTATAACGAACATTTCGTACCGGTCCCCTCCCTCTCGTTATAACAGGATTCCACTGTACATGATAATGATACATATTTATATATATATATATATATATGTACAGTGGAATCCTGTTATAATAAAGTACGGCTAATCTATGAGTTTGGTGTTCTGTTTATTTCTTTTTGCTATCTCTCCTCCGATGATGGCTTCGTTCAACATGAACTCTAGGTCTTACTTGATCAAAAATCGAATCAGGTTTCTTTGTCTAGGGTTGTTAGCGATGTTGACCACTCAGCGTTGGCTATCAGAAAGAAAGTTCTCTAGGCTAACTTGCCCGCTGTGTTGTCCCCCATCCCACCACACCCTGTTACCTGTGGTACATTCTCGCGTCTGCTTGCTCACGTGACACATTTGCTCTATCCATCACACCACTGTGAGTATGACCTCTCCATCCCCGCATCGGAGAAGTGAGAGGCATGATAGGCCTTGATAATCTACACTAGGCTGTCCTATCACTATCAGGCTATGCGTTCTGCTTCACAACGGCTAGTCTGCGCGTGCCACACCCTCCCCACTCATTCGCTTCGGCCTTCATCGTTGGCACACAAGGGCTCTCCCATTCTTTGATTCGTTTGATCACCAACAAGTTTCTCAACTGGCGAGGTTTTCATGTATAAATGGCCTATGCAGTGTGCACACAGCAGCAATATTCCGCTATAAACGACTCGCGTGTTTGTCTGATTGCGCTATAGCAGTATTTTATTTACAAAGATAAAGAAGGGAAAAAAACGGTGTTTTAGAATCATGTCTTTATAAAAGACTTCTCGTTGCTTCAGGACTCGTTATAAGTGGACTCCACTGTGTGTGTGTGTGTGTATATTTATGTATATATATCACCCATACACTTTACTGTTACATGAACACTGTTAGGGTATTTAAGAGACGTGATCTCCGAATGTAATGTCCCTATCTGACAGGACTAAGCCAAATAAGCTGAGAGTCTTCCAAACTTCCTAAAACAACCAAGTTCCAGAACATCCAGTCTTGGATTCGAACCAGGGCCACCCGCTCCCTAGTCCAGCATGATACAGCCTGTGCCGGCTTTAGACACGCCGGCAGAAAACACGCTTCGGACTCAAGCACGCTAAACAGCTCTTACCGAATTTTTGCTATGCACAATAACTTCGGCTTCGGGCACGCTTCTACGAGGTCTGTCTCAGAATAAAGTTTCCCTCCTCCATAAAATCAAAAGTACGCAACCAACACCACTAAAATTTGTGACGTCATGACATCATGTGTAAGAAATCTCCACGCCAAATTGCAAGTGCATTGCTGAACGGGTCATAGAGCTGTGACGTGTCAAGTGTGGTGTTCTTGTGCACTTTGTCCAAGGCAAATTCGAGGAAAAAGGCTGAGCAAAACATTGGTGCAACCTTCTCATGCTACAGTGTCCGAGTTGTGATCAAAATTTCAACTCTTCTCGGCAAGTCTGCAGATGAGACCCATTATGATCTATACCAAGTAACAGGAAATAATGCCCCATCAAATCACACAGTAAAGAAATGGGTCAGAGAGGTTGAAGGTGGGAGGTCTAACATGAAAGGTGAAGCACAGGGAAAACACAGAGGGATAAAGTTGATGCACATTGTTTTTTTTCGACATGAGTGGCATCATACTGAGCTGGCTAGTCCCACCTGGCGTAACTGTCTATGGTGACTACTACAGGTTCATTCTCAAACTCAAAGACAAACTGAGACCTGCAATCCGGAAAAAGACCACAAAACAAAACAAACAAAAACTACCACGGCAGGTAAAAAATGACAGTGCACTTTTGCGAGACCACTACTTGCGAACAAAGGGAAATAGCTCCGGAAATGTTCTATCTGGATTATGACAATGTCCATTTCGCACTCAAGCACGCTTCGGCGTTAAGCATGCTTGCTTTCTCCCGATGACTGTGCTTAAAGCCGGCATGGACTGTAACAACCAACTGGGCTGACAGTTGCTGAAATGTTAAGTATCCTACCCTGATGAGAGAGAGAGAGAGAGAGACAGAGACAGAGACAGAGACAGAGACAGAGACAGAGACAGAGACAGAGAGAGAGAGAGAGAGAAAGAGAGAGAGAGAGAGAGAAAGAGAGAGAGAGAGAGCAGACAACTATCATGTGGTGTTGTAAAAAGCCTCTATGTGATACTGATACCTACAACACAGAAGCCCTGTCCACCATCCTTTACACTTGTTGCAATGCTTTTGTTTAGACAATTAGGAATTGACACTGGACCCACCAATTCCTAACCGCTGTAAGGGAAAATTTGAGGAAGAATAGGGCGGAAAGCGGTTCCCACTCTAGGTAGATTGAAGGAGAAGGGGATCCAAAGAGGAGAAGGGAAACACAGCCATCTGTGTGGACCAGTCCCACGCATCTCCAACCAGATTATGATGGAGACTATAATATAAGCAGACAGATTCTGGGATGGATCCTGAAGGGAGGGGAGCAGAGATGGACATGTTCCGACTGCAGTGACCCCAACACAGTGGACAACTGGACAAGTAAGACAAGTAAGAAAGATTTATCATATGAGCTTATTGTGCTGCAAGTGCTATAAAACTGTTACTAAAAACAAAACTAAAAGAAAAAAAATCCTCAAAATGACGTCCTTTAGCCTGCAGCCAGTCCACAGTTAGTTAAACATTGCAGCACAAATTTCACACCTGTATCTGGCCTTCTTTAGATAGATCATTTTTTACCCTTCAGTCATCGTGTGGACCACAAAGAGTATGTCCCAAAATATTTGATACATTTTTTTATCAAGTGTTCTTTTGCGTCTCCATAGATGGTCTCTTTAAGAAAACCTGGCACCGCAAATTTCACATTGTGTAAAGTCTTTCTCATCTGTGTGTACTTTTGTGACACTGTAGATGTCCGCTCCGTCTAAAAGAGGAACCACAAACTTCACACATGTAAGGTTTTTCTCCTGTGTGTGTTCTTTTGTGACTCTGTAGAGAATCACCACGTGTAAACGTGGCACCACAAACTTCACACTTGTAAGGTTTTTCTCCTGTGTGTGTTCTTTTATGACTCTGTAGACCCTCGCTCCATTTAAAAGAGGCACCACAAACTTCACACTTGTAAGGTTTTTCTCCTGTGTGTGTTCTTTTATGACTCTGTAGACCCTCGCTCCATTTAAAAGAGGCACCACAAACTTCACACATGTACGGTTTTTCTTCTGTGTGTGTTCTTTTGTGACGCTTTAGACAGCTACCACGTGTAAACGTGGCACCACAAACTTCACACTTGTAAGGTTTTTCCCCTGTGTGTATTCTTTTGTGACGCTGTAGATGTCCGCTCCAATCAAAAGAGACACCACAAACTTCACACTTGTAAGGCTTTTCTCCTGTGTGTATACTTTTGTGACGCTGTAAAAGTCCACTCCGTTTAAAAGAGACACCACAAACTTCACACTTGTAAGGCTTTTCTCCTATGTGTGTACTTTTGTGACGCTGTAGACTGCTTCCGAGTGTAAAAGTTGCACCACAAACTTCACACTTGTAAGGTTTTTCTCCTGTGTGTTTTCTTTTGTGACGCTGTAGAAGTCCGCACTGCATAAATGTGGCACCACAAACTTCACACTGGTAAGGTTTTTCTCCTGTGTGAGTTCTTTTGTGACACCGTAGAGTTTTACCATATGTAAAAGCTGCACCACAAACTTCACACTTGTAAGGTTTTTCTCCTGTGTGTGTTCTTTTGTGACTCAGCAGATGTCCGCTCAGTTTAAAAGAGGCACCACAAACTTCACACTTGTAAGGTTTTTCTCCTGAGTGTATTCTTTTGTGTATATGTAGACCGCTATTGCGGGTAAACGTGGCACCACAAACTTCACACTTGTAAGGTCTTTCTCCTGTGTGTTTTCTTTTGTGACTCTGTAGAGATCCGCTCTGTGTAAACGTGGCACCACAAACTTCACACTTGTAAGGTTTTTCCCCTGTGTGTGTTCTTTTGTGACGCTGCAGATGTCCGCTCCAATGAAAAGAGTCACCACAAACTTCACACTTGTAAGGTTTTTCTCGTGTGTGTATTCTTTTGTGACACTGTAGAAGTCCACTCTGTTTAAAAGAGGCACCACAAACTTCACACTTGTAAGGTTTTTCTCGTGTGTGTATTCTTTTGTGACACTGTAGAAGTCCACTCTGTTTAAAAGAGGCACCACAAACTTCACACTTGTAAGGTTTTTCTCCTGTGTGTGTTCTTTTGTGACGCTGTAGACAGCTATCACGAGTAAACGTGGCACCACAAACTTCACACTTATAGGGTTTTTCTCCTGTGTGTATTCTTTTGTGATTCTGTAGATGTCCGCTCTGTGTAAACGTGGCATCACAAACTTCACACTTGTAAGGTTTTTCTCCTGTGTGTATTCTTTTGTGCCTCTGTAGATGTCCACTGAGTCTAAATGTGGCACCACAAACTTCACACTTGTACGGTCTTTCTCCTGTGTGTTTTCGTTTGTGATCCTGTAGATGGCTACCACGTGTAAACGTGGCACCACAAACTTCACACTTGTAAAGTCTTTCTCCTGTGTGTGTTCCTTTGTGATCCTGTTGATGTCTGCTCTTGGTAAATGCAGCACCACAAACTTCAGACTGGTGAGGCCTATCTCTTGTGTGGTTTTTTTCGTGTGTCTGTAAGTTACCTACTTCTGAAAACATTTCACCACAGACTTTACACTCGTGAGGTTTTTCCAGACCATGGTAGAGATTTCTGTTGTCCATCTGCTTGTCACCTGCTATGTTCTGATGGAGGTCACAGACTCTCTCCACAGCACCGATGTCACCAGAAGAGGTTTCTTTCCGGACACTGCCAACGTTCTCTTCATAGACCCTTTGTCCTGTCTGAAATCTGCAGCTCGAACTTTGACCTTGTCTTCTCAGCATATCATTTGTCTGTTGTACCGGGTGACAGGAAGTCAGTGGCATATGAGGGTAAGTCGAGACATCTGGAAAAGACAAATAATGGACAAGTTATCTAACCCTGACAGAAAGATGAAACATCTGGAAGTAGACAAAAATGATGAATGTGTCATTCTAACACTAATGACTAATGATAAGATGAAACAACTGAAAAAAGTAAAAAATACACAAGCTATACCGAAGTTGTTGGTTTTTTTTAGTAGAGGTCTATGGCGCTCGTAACTGCATAAGGTCATGTCATATATATGAGCACCAGAAGATATTAGAGTTGTTACAAGAGAGTAACAAACATAAAAAAGGAGGGGACATAAGGACGATAGATGTTTGATAGGAAAGAAGAAGCAAACCACACCAGAGCACCCGCCAACCACCCACCTACCCAAGTTTATCTAACATTTATAATAATATATATATTAATGAATCTAATCACAGAAAAAGAATGATCAAGATGAGATGTGGCTGCTATCCTACACACTTAAAATACAAGCCTAAAATTTACTATGACTGTCTACACATTCATCCCACTTGTGCTTTTCGTCCCTTTTCTCAAACATCATGTCATTTTTTTACATTTCAAGAGAAGGAACACACAACAACCACAGGAACACTGGGTTATTTTCTGTAATCGTAAATGTTGAAGACCTGTGATTTCTTTCCACCGACCCACAAAAGGAATGACAAAAAAGTGGTCAGCACGTCTGCGTTGTACAGGCATAAATAAAGTCAAAGAAAAGACAGTTTGCCTTGTCATGTCACCGTGAGATGGAATGAGGAAGTGTACAGTGAGTTTAATGACACTGACAATTATTTATTTACTGTAAAAAACAAGAACACCCAACTTTCTTTTACTTTCAAAGGAGATGGTAATGCACATGTGTCACAGCACAATAATACATTATAATTCTATTATATACACATTATATAGGTTATTTTGCCTAAATTGTCCACCCTTTAGCTCTCCATGTCAAGCTGTAGCCACCAGTAGTTGTACCTCACTACCATTAAAAAAACCGACGGCACAAACCATTTGCTTTTCTCCTTTTGTTAAGTACGAGTTTTACGGCACTTGCAACAACACAATAAGGTCATAAGTTTCGAAGGTTAGAGGTGTTACAAGAGAGTAACAAACACAAAATAGAAGATGGGGAGATAAAAACAATAGATTTTTTATAGGAAAGAAGGAGCAAACCACACCAGAGCACCTGCCAGCCACCCACTTGCTTTTCTCCTGTCCACAAACATTATAAACCATAAAAAGTAAATAAACGTCGGGAGAAACTTCAAAAGAACTGTGCCACCCCAGCTTGTTTTTATATCTGACCACAAGGCTTCTGTGGGCTCACAGTGCTATATGTACCCGGCACGTCACAGAATTGCTCAATTTTTAACAACTTGACAAACCGCAGCAAGAAATATATATATATATAATATTTATACAAAGCATACCGTATCGAAAAGTCCACACACAGAAGGATTCTACGTACCAGAACTTTCACCGTGATCCCAGCTGGCCCAGACAACAGATCCTGAACTTGTGACTGGATCGGCAGAGAAAGTTGAAGTTAGACTACTGGAAGCAACAACATCTGTGTCGGGGCTGGCACTCTGCTCCATACACAAGCTTCTCACATTAGAGATTTTCAGCTGTAGTCCTCCACCCTGACTCATGTGATCCTCAACAAACACGGGCTCAGTACACGTATCCTCCACATCTCCCACTTGTCCTTCTGTCTTTCCTACCTCTACAACGTCTGGACCTTCCCATTCTGACACTTCTTCTTTCACAAAATTCTCCACTTTTGGTTTCACTTCATCACCAAAGTCAGGAAAATGTCCAAATAGTGGTTCCGTTTTCACCGTACAGATATCTGTGAGGCACTCTGGTTTAATGACAGGTTTCACGTCTTCCTCCTCTGTACAGATAGGCTCATCTTTTACTACACTGTGTCTGAGAGTCTGGCTACTTTCACTTTCAACGTTCAGTTTGTCATTTGTCTCGGCCTTGACGTTACTTGGACATTCAAAACTGGGCTCTCCTTTTACTGACAGATGTTCCTCATCAACACCCACAGATTCACTTGCCCTACCTATAATGTCATGTTTTACATCTTCCCTTAAACTGTTAGTACAAAGAGTAGCCATACTAGATCTAGATCTAGATTCACCTTTAACAACTATGCTATCAATCCCAAGATTCACACCTTCTTCAGAAGAATAAGGAACAAAATCACACGTTTTCACACATCCAGAGCCATAATCATTTCCAGAGTTTAGTCTATACATTGTTACTGTGGTGTCTTCCTCACAGTTGGCGTCCATTTGTGTACTAGATCTAGATCTAGATATATCTAGAATCTAGATCTTGAGTGGGAAGTGTCAGCCACCTTTATCAAGTCACAATGTCAATGATGACACTACCCTCTATCCTTTTATTTTTTAACACAGCACTAACACTTTAACACTTGGGGCTTGGGGGGGGGGGGGGTTCTGAAACGAGCGACCACTAAGAAACAGAGTAGAAAAGAGGGAAACGGTTACGGAATATGGTTAGGGTTTGGGGAAGGGGTTGGGTCAGGGTCAGGGTTAGAGGTAGGATTAGGATCACCACTACAGTACGCTACGGAATTCCTTCCCTAACATGTGCACACAGTTTACTTCGATAAACAAACAAACATTGCCATGAAGAGGAAAAGTCCATCTGACTTCATGTTCCAAATTTGATTCTGCACAATTACGTTCAAGCATAGATCTAGGCTTAATTGGATCCCCTTGTTGGCCTTAGATTTTAGATTCTATGTAATGTATATATATATATATATATATTGCGTTCATTTTCTACGATCAAACAAGTATGAAGAGCTTTAGAACAGTTTCAGCAGTATAGTATGAAGGCCAGCCAGCTTCTCTCCGTTGTGTACTTTATTAAATTATTATTACTAGTAAAAGTACCCATTCTACGAACGGAATGGTAGGCTAATGGAGAAGTATTAGGAAAGTTAAGAAGAGGAAAAAAAGACTGAAAACAGGAAAGAAACAAACATAACCATTTTACCTTGAATTTATCCATGTAGCACACCCTCTTGACTACCTCTAGGGATAAGACTTCTTCTCCCTCTTCGAAGGCGTGGCATTTTTTCTTAAAGTTCCAGCTCAATCACTTTTTAAAAAAAAGAGTTAGGCCTACCTGCCAATTATTGCTTCCTAGAAGAACCTAATCTAGATTATAGTTCTAGCCTAGATCTCGAAGGATTATAAAGACAGGCCAATAATTGAAAGAATGAGCCTAGGCCCATAGATAAAATCTAAGTTTAGAAATTCACATTTTTAACAACCGATAGGCGTCACAGATGGCCTAGATTTTTAGATCTATTCACAGCAGGAAAAAATCCACGTGCAATACTTTCATCATTCTTGATCTCGATCTAAGATTTACATTAGATCTATATATATATAGATCTAGCCTAGATTTAGATCTAGATCTTAGAATCTAATGCACAGCAAGAAAAATCCACTTTCAATATTCAATAGGTTATCGAAATATCACAGATCTAGATCTATACAACACATTCTACTTTCATTTCATGATTCTTCTTGATCTCGATTTAGATCTAAATACAAGATCTAGTTTAGATTTAGATCTAGATTCTATATATATCTCATCTAGACACTGTGCAAAAAAATACACTCGTCCTTCGGCATGGGCGCTAAATCCACTGCAGGAGAAATTTACTTTCAATACTTTCATGGTTGTTCATCTTGATCTAGATAGATCTAGACATTATACACACACACATGCGACTACACTCAGGGCGTAAATCGGGCTGCAATTGGCTGAACCTTTGACTTTGACTAATGAATACATTAAGTAGGCCTACGGTAGGCAACTCTTGGCGCTTTCGACGAAACCCTCCCTGTCAGTCTCACCACCTTCCCTCTGCAGTGCTTTCTAGCATTTTCTATCTCTTCCTTTCCATCTCTCCCCCCCCCT